TCACCAAAGTTTTATAGTTATTAATTTGATAAAGTGAATCTTAATGTCACCGTATTTCTTTACTGAAAGACGTACCAAACAAGAGTTTCTGCCAGAAATAAATTAGCACCATACTATTTCAAAGTTAAGGTTGAGAGAGATAATTAAATAGGAAAAATGTGCTCTGGAGACTTAAAATGCACACTGCAAAATGTCCATTATTAAACGGATATGCTTTAATCAATTTCGACTAATGAACCATTGTGGTTCTACATCTCCTTTATCTTTGTTTTGATGCTGAGACAGGAAAGTACCACACCAGTATGTCAGGTATTTATACTGGATATTAGAAGGTGTCTTACGTAACATATTGATGGGAGTTACTGACTTCTTTTTTTAAACAATCTGTTTATGTGCTGGCATTTAAACATTTAACTTTAAATGCCCATGTCCCAGTTCAACACTAAATTAGATAAATTTGATTCCATTGACCAAAATATTCCCTATCTTAATATTTCCACTAGTAGGATTAATACAGTCTACTATCATTACTATTTAAAAGCATGATCAGCCTGACAAAAACCAAAAGTTCATTTTCAGACATAGCTGAAGCAGGGACAAAAATAAGCAGATCTCAGGAATGATGACCTCCATTTAGCTAATTAATTAAAACAATGTAAGGTAACTTAGGAATAAGAACACCCCTGAGAGATTTTTTCATGGCTTTCAAGATCATGGATACAGTACAAAGTAAAGTAATCTTTTGATGTTAGATGAGTGGAAGCAGCTTCATTGGCATATTTTTTCTGCTGTTTTGAAGTTAGCACCATGGTCTTATTTGTTCTGGCATAGCAGTCTTCTCTATTTTTATTTAACCAAAAAGCACTCTAAAAACATAGCATGTTAATATTCACATTAAATATTAGTGAGAACATAGCAAAGTGGTAATAAAAGATAACTTAGAAATTCAAGTATGAACAGGAAAAGCTATAGTCAGACTGATCCAAGCAGAGCTGGCATGAATTGAGCTTACATTTCCTGGTCTTCCTCATCAGTGTTGCGCAGAGACAGGCGCATCATTTCAGCTTAACTCTGGTTGGAAACGCTAAAACTGTTTAAATTTAGGCTTTAATTGACTTTCATTGTGCTAATTATACTGCAAACTTCCACCTCAAGCTCCTGCCCCTCCACACAGTGCCATAGATAGCATATACAATGATATACAGCATATAGTGCTCATGAATAGCATATACAGTGATATACAAGTGCAGTCATACACCCCTTCTACCTGAAGAGATAAAGTAGGTTGATTTACATATTTATTAAACATTGTAAGTAGAAGCACGCACTGCAGTGCCACATTGCATTGTGAAGGAGGGTTCCAGTAGCAGCTGGGATTACTGCACTGGAAAACACACAACAGTCAGTCTGTTGACATACATGTGAATAAAGGTAGGGAAGTGACACAATGGGTATTTAAGACAAAAGCAACTTGAGAAATAACCGCATTCAGCAGTGCAGCTGCACTCTGCAGGGGCACAGAGAACATCCTTGATCTCTTATACTCTGCTGGGAGTGGAGTAGAGACAGTACACGTGGCTGGCCAGGAAGGACACTCATCCATCTTCTGCTACCCCGCCAGCCTAGCAGTAATGAGGAACTCCAGAGGGAGCCTGGTTCAGTTCTCACTTGGAAGGAGGATGTTGCTCAGAAGCATAAAATGGAAATGCTTGTTATAAAAAGAATCAAAAGCTAAAAGAAGGGTTTACTGTTGAAACCATAGGATGAGACTAAAATCAGACTGGTCACACACCTGCTAATCATAATTTCTTTCCTGAACAAAGATTTTTGACTAGCAATACTAAAAGAGATACTTGGAAGATAGTCACATCTTGACATCACACAGATGGGGGTGATAAAAATGCCTGTAACACTAAAAGCACCTCATTTCTAAGTCTGCATCACTTCACCTCTCAAATACTTCTGAGTATTTCAACATGCTCAATGACAAACATAAACCCTCCACACCGCCTGCAGGATTAAACCCGTTCTTGCCCTTCAGTTTTTGCAGTGTATCTCCAGGGCCTGACTTTCCATCTCAGATGGCTTTAGCTGCAATTATTTAAAACACCACCACCCAGGCTCACCACCTCTCTCTCCAGCAGGGAGGCAACAGGGCAAATATGTGGAAGCTCTTCAGCCAGGGCTGATCTCCCCTCTCAGCCCTCATCACCACCGTGGAGATCCAGTCCTGACACACGTTACTCCTGCTGCATCTGCTATGGGAACTCCCACTGACCAGGGCACAAGGGAGACTGCTGGGAGTTGCAACACCTACTCCTATAGCAGAGACTGCCCAGCAAGCTCAGGAGTCCAGGCTGTGGAAGATCAGCCCTGCCCAGTTATTTGCAGCAGTGATTTATCATGATGAGGCCCTGACTTGTCTTTCCTGTCCCTTTGTGGGAGGTTAGGACTCCTACAGACAGAAGGGAGTGGATAAATGCAGACAGTGATGTTCCTAGGCAAAAAGCAAGATGCCACAAAGCTACGCCACAGGAGTCTTTGGTAATCCTGATGTCGGTATGCTAAAAAAGGTATTGCTTCTTTATTGTAGAACAGGCGATCAGCCAAGCTGGCCTTTTATCCAGTGCAGACATGATAATGGGAAATATGTATGGGCCTTACCCTATAATTAGGGCGCATTCAGAAGTGTCCCAGGCTTTCCAGGCAGGCAAATGTAAAGCGCTGTGACTCATCACTACAGGGTGTGACTGCTCTTAGGGATTTGTAAGGTTTTCTTTAAATGCTGATCGGCTCCTTCCTCTTTGATGGGATGTCAGAAACCAGAATCTGAAAAGCCTGTTGGGGGCCTACCTGTCAAACTGCTGATAAGCTACATAAAGCTGTTTGTGCCAACAGTCACCAGCTGTAAAGGTGAAGAGAATCTCTTACACAGCTAACCCCAGGGAAATAGGTCAGCCAAGCTGAAGCAGGGAGGAGCAGTCCAGGATCTTTTTTGTGTTTTCAGTAACACCCTCAGGATGGACCCATTTAGTAAAGCAAATATATTTTTTTTTTTTGTGAAAAAACGTCATTCTGCTTATAAATAATGCCTGCCCCATGTGCATGTTTCTTTCTGACCTCAACTCAGCCAAGTGAGTTTGACTTCATAATTATCTTGCCGCCTTCTGGCTGGCATGAATGAGGATATTAGCTCTATTACCAGCAGCCTATTAACCTTCTGCTTTCATTCAAACTTTAGTCTTAAAAGGAACCAAACGGTTCAATTTAAGCAGTCTGCAGAAAGCATGAAGATACACGCTTGCGTATGTACTTACAGATAATTCAATCTGAGACGGTTTAGGGGTGGAATACCTCTAACTGTAACAGTGAAATGAGAAGTTTACTAGGCCTTCAACGTTGTTCCCTGCAACAGCTACTAATTTCACAGCAGAATATCACACTCTGAAAATGACAGCATTATTTTACTATGCCCCATGTGCAGAAAAGCAGCAGATTCTCACACTGAAAATTTTTTGAGAATGCTGGTCTGCCAGGGTTGTATCTGTACAGACAAGTTCTCCCTAACTTATGATTTACACATTATACTGTCGGATATACACCACAAAGTCATTTTATGGAGTTTATGAAGCTGCTTAGAGACCTACTGTTCTCACACTTTGCTAGGGGTAAAAGTCTGCCAGTATCTGCATTAACTATAGACATTGACTATAGTCAAATACTCATCATACTGTGCTAAAAATTAAATCTGTCAAAGCAAGCTGGAACTACCCATATACATACATCAAGGATATTTTTTCAATTAACACTTCAATTAAAATTTCAAGGGAAAAAATTATCTTAATGACATCACTTGCAGATGAATACTCACTGAAATAATGCTTATTTATAGAGGGAAATCCCCTTACAAAATATAAATTACTACTGTCCTGTAGACAGACAGACCCCAAACCAATTTTCCCTATTTAATTTTTCTCACTTTTCCTGTAGATTTCCAAGTAAAATGAAAATCTAAAAGGTTAAAAATAGATTAAGAAAAGCTACTTTAAACAAAAAAGTATGGATTTTTTAAAGCACTGATACTTAACTTGACACTGGATTCTTCTGAATGACTACAGGAACTCCAAAGGAGCCACTGTGCTTTCTTTTCTTGCATCAATAATCCATACACAGGGAAAGAATTTAAACAGCAGAATACAAGGACTCCATGAGAACACTGAAATAAGACCATTTTCACATGACTTTGTGCTTCAAAACCACACTTTTACCTGTTATGGTATTTAAGTGCTTAACATTAATCTATTAAAAACTAGTGCCCAACTGATCACTTAGCCTTTTAGTGTATAAAAACCAACCAGCAAATACAATGTATACTATACAGCAGAACTTTCTATATACTTCACAGAATTACTATGAAAACTAATTAACAGCTGCAGTGCTTTAAGTATATTTTTATGGATTTAGATACAGCAGTGCTCATCATGATAGGGAACCCTGGCTAACTAGCTAACTCGTGTGTTAAAATGGAGCTGGTAACTCCTCCTGGGTCCAGAGAAAGTAAAGATATCCTGAAAACTCCTCTAAGCATCCTGATTCCCGGGCCTCATGACAGTCTGCATTACAGCAGTCTCAGGACTATTGCTAAGCTACAACAGTGTCCAAGAAGTCATTCCTCAAACAAGCACAACTGAAGCACAGCAGCGTTCTGGCTCTTGCCTTCATCTCTGCGCCCCAACTCCCTGTCCTCGCCTTCATCTCTGCCCCCAACTCCCTGTCCTCCTTCCTCCACCATATTCCCGTGCCAGGATTTGTAAGGTGGCCATACAAAACCAATAGATGGGCTAAAGACCAGCTAACAAAGGGACCAGGAGGTGGCTTCCTACAGCTGATTCTTGCCCATTCCCACCTTTACTTTACTTTTCAGTTTGAGGACAAAATAATTACCCCTGCTTTTCTTGTGAATTCTTGAGGACACCAATTAACTGAAATGTAGTAGGAACATTGTTCTTTAGGGATAATTTTCCATTCATAAACCCAAATGAACCTATAGCATCACAATGTGAAAATAATCCTATTTATGGCAGTGATTTTTAAGGCATAACAGGATGAGCTGCAATTACTGACCTGTAGCAGGCTTCCTGCACTTGCTTCTGTAAGTCACTACACCTCTTCCTGGCCCAAAGCTTTTGCCTAATCTACTTTCCCAGCTCTTTCTGTTAAAGTTGTTAATTATCCTGGGAAAAGGCAGGCTGGATATTTGTACTGGATCTACCTTATAAGGACGACTGGCTGCTACTATGACACTAGTTGCTAAGAAAAACACAATCTGAATTTTACCCCACCTACTTTAAAACAAAATAAATCTGTTCATTTCCCGGTTCTGCAGTTTGGGCCCGTCTAGCTGTGGTGTTGCAGCAGAGCTCCAACAGGTGCTTTAACACCACAATTCCCACAGTATGGGTACACACATAGAATAGAAAGACACATTGCCAGGGGAAGATATATTTACTGTCAGGAAACAGTGATTTTGTGATAAAGAAGATGGAGTACACGACTGTAAACATTAAGTAGTATTTTCAGTTGAGCTGCTCTTAATAATGAAAAATGCATGCTGGCCTTATTTTACCATCTGTACACCCTTAAAATGGTAGGGGCAAGAAGATCAAGCAGTGATTTTTCCACCCCTCATAGTTTTCCTGTCAGAAGCGGAAAATGCCTTTCACCCTAGTGCTGGTGCCAGGCATCGAGCTGTTTGCTATCACAGAATTTCATGTCAGATGGAGGAGACTGAACTGTGAATTCCTAAACCTAGAAAAATATTCTATGTCTGTGAAGCTCAAAGCAGCTGCTAAACCTCCACATGCTGAGAGTAACTTCATACCTGTGCTCTGACAGAACAGGGATGGAGACGTACCCAGAAAGACACTGGGCTTCTGAAAAAAAAACATCAACCACCTTTGGGAGCAAGGCTTGTAAAAAAAAACCCAAACAAAGGCAACTGATTGGGGAACAAATGCAGGCCTCACCCACTACTGAGTGTCCAGGACAAGTCTGGAAGGTCCTTAGGAAGGCCCTGCACTTCACAATACCAGCTACACTTTGACTATTCAAGTACACAGTAAACTGAAAAAGTAAAGCATGGGTGCATGGTGGGTGCATCAGTTAAAATTAACCAATGTCAAATCACAAGGGATATGAAAAGCCAGAGATATCATGATATGTAGCTTTGCAACACTGGCTATTAAAACCAGCATTTCTCCTTCTACCTGTACTGTACCCCTCAGCGCATTACTTTACTTTTTCTATGGTTTACAACATAACAAACATACCCAAGGAAAATACCACCTCATAAAAAGAAAGTGTTATCCTTTGAGACCTGATGTCAAATGAATGAATATTCATTCAAATAAACACCTGTTATATCCACACACTGCCATAGTAAATCTGCTCTAATAAGGCTACAAAAGGCTGAGAATAAATAAAATCTAGGCTGGCTTTTCAATTAGTCTCTGTTAAAGAGGCTTGCTTTATTTTCACTTGGTATCCTGAAAGCCACAGAAGCCACACAACATGCAGCAGCTGACATGGTGTGCAAACCTTAACCAATCTACTCACTTTCGTTCTGTAGATGCACACTCTTTTAGTATGTTTTGGTTTAGGACACCTGTGTTAACTTTCACCTGAAATGAAAAGAAAAATTTAAACACTTAATCCTGACTTTCAAAGCTCCAGCCAGGCTCATCTTGAGCACCATCAATGGAACGGGGCAGGTGAGGGACTGAAAAAGGTTCTCAGTGCTGACTGATAGGTTTTTGATATTGCCATGCTTCCCTTTTACTAATTATGCCCAGATTGCTCATCATGCCAGATACTGTTTATGCTAGGAATTTTCTACAGCATACCTCAGGGGCAAATTGCCTGTAGTGGTGATCTGGGAATTCTCTCTAGCCTACTATAACAAACAAACCTCCAGTATTCTCCACATCACATCATTCAACTCTCTCTCCAAATCTCCAGCAGCATACTTTTCAACTGAGCTAACTTCAGCTGCCCAGAGAAGGGTATTCCCTGACACTCCAGTTGTTTATTCCCTCTAGAGCATGATAGATACTCTCTGACCCCTTGATCCTGCACAAGCTAAAAAAACAGAGTAGTTTTAAGTCATTAGACTGTTGATAGTGAAAGCCCTTGAGGTAAAAACCATCCAGGCGAAAGCCCTTGTGCTGGACAGCAACATTAGCCTGAGATTTCATGTAAATTGCACAAATATTTACAGTAATTGTTAATTCCTTCACTGCTGAAGCCAGTTCCCCACTACCTCATCCATGTTTTGCAGACAGAATGAATCCTTTTTGCAAACGCATTTTATTGCCAGCTCCAAGTTTGGAGTATTTACATTATTTTAATTGGTGCATTGCTTTTACTGCACAATATAGTAGAGGTGTACAGCGCGTAAAGCTGTTCATGAACACACCGGAACGGCGCATGCATGATGGGCCAGAAAAGAAACTTAATCTCCAGGTACACCACCTTCCGCACAGTTGTGACACCTACCACAACTGCTAATACTGCTTTTCCTCCATAAAGCATTCAGAGCACTGGCTGCCCAGGGAACAACAACTAGTTGTGTTTTAAACCCTGATTCCCATGAGGGCAACTCTCCTGCAGGGTCCCCTCAACCCACACGGGCCACGGCTGGTGGGATCCTCACGGCCGCCACTTCATCCCTTGGGCTCCCGCAGGGACGCCGCGCCAGACACCGGTTTCTCCAGCTCCCACATGTGAAGATGTGCCAGGAATGGAGACGTTTTGGAGGTGACTGTGAGAGGGCAGCCATGGCGGGTGCGGAACCACCACAGGTCCCACGGGTGGCCCGTGCCTGTCCCTACCCCTACACGGGCGTAAGGCACGAGGCGAGGTGCGAGGCCAGGAGCTCCGGAGGCCGCACGGTGCCCAACGGACGCAGCCAGCGGCAGGTACCGGCCCGGTGCTGCCCCGCAGGGCCGGCGGGCTGGAGGCAGGAGCCCACCGGGACTCGGAGCAGTGCCCGGGCACCAGCTGCGGCGGAGGGGGCAGAGCAGGCGGGCACGGACCGGTCCGAGCTGCCGTCGAGGCCCGCCCCCCCCCACGCGCCGCGGCTTTGTCCTTGCCTGGCCCGGAGCACGCGCGCCCCGTGCCGCGGCGGGAGAGCGCCTGCGCGCGCTCCGGCGACCGCGAGCGCCCCCTCTCCCCTCCCCCCCCTCCCATCCCCGCGCCCGGAGCTCCGCCGGCGGCTCCGCGGCTGGCGGGGGCGGGAGGAGGCCGGAGGCGTCCGGCGCCCCCTCCCCCGCCCCCGCAGGCGCGCGCCCGCCGCCCCCCGCCCCGGCCCCCCGGCCCGCCGCGGGAGCCCGCGCCGCAGAGCGGGGCCCGCCAGCGCCACCCGCCGGCCGCGGGGCCGCACCGCGCCTCCCCCCGTCCCCCCCTGCTCCGGCTCTCAATGTTCCACACTGCCCGGCCACAGAGCCGCCGCCGCCGCCGTATAGCCCCCCGGCCGCCTCCGTCCCCCTCCTCGGGCGCCGCGGGCCCGGCCCGGCCCCCCGCCATCCCGCCTCTCCGACCCAGCAGCGGGACAGGACGCCGGCGAAGGTAAGGAGAGGCGGGCGAGGCGGCTGCCGCGGCGGCTGGGCGAGCGCGGTGGGGGGAGGCGGGGAGGAGGCGGGGGGGCTGGTAGAGGAGCTTTGTTCTTGTTTTCGGCGCTTGCTGCCTGGCGGCGGCCGGGGGCGCGGAGCCGGCCCGAGTTCACGCCTCACTTGGTGCACACGCACGGTGCGGTGCGGGGCCGGGCGAGCCGCCGCCGCCCGCCGCGCCGAGCCCAGCCGAGCCGCGCCGCGGTTCTCCCCACAAAGCGGGCCGGGTGGCCGCCTCCAGCCCTGCCGCAGCTCCCCGCCGCGCTCCTCCTCGCCCCCCCCCCCGGCCCGCCGGGGCAGCCCCCTCCCTCCCCCACCCCGCTCCTTCCCCCCCCACCCCCACCCCCCCCCCAATCGGCGGAAAAATGTCGGTCTGCCTGGCGGAGCTGCGCGGGGAGCGGCGGCGGGGAGAGCTGTGCAGAAGGTGCAGTTTGAATTATGCTTCTTCCCCCTCCGGCAGCTCGGCGGTGGCCGGTTCTCGCTGCTGGCCATGTAAAATAACCGGGGGCTGCTGCTGCCCGGCTTGTTCTGAATGCAGCTTGGGGTTTTTCTCTTAAAAAAAACAACCAACCCAACAACAACAGCGAAAACCCTGAGTCGTGTGTACTCTCCCCTCCGCAGCCCAGCCCTTTAAATGCCCAGAGCAAGTGTACATTTCCATCTGAAATCAACCCAAGTGTTGCTGGCAATGTATTTTCTCGGGGAGAGGGGGAGAGAGAAGGGGGATCTGGCGTTTGGACCCAATAAAATGCTCTGCTCCAGTGTAAATATTTACAGGGTATTAGTGACTTTTTAAAAAACATTTTCAGCGAGGTCTGTTATTTACCATGTGTCATAAGTTATTAATGTGCATTGCCTAAGTACCCTGCTAAATCTGTCTCATGCCTTAGACAAAGTCGACAATTGGCATATTGTTTAAAGTATGAGAAAAATGCGAGTGGGCTTAAAAATTGGAAATATCAGTATTTTCGGAAGTGTAAATATCACTCAGTAGCTGTCAAACTGCAGCCCCGGGGGATGAGACAAAGAAGTGTATTTCTCTAGTCAAACAGAGTTGTCACCAATTCAGGTGTTCTCTGGAACTTGGGGAATGGCAAGAGGGAGTCCTGCCTTTGTATTAACTCTGCCTCTTTGCTTCTCCTTCCCAAAAAAGCTCCCCACGATGTCCAGCGATAGGCAGAGGTCAGACGATGAAAGTCCCAGTACCAGCAGCGGTAGTTCGGATGCAGATCAAAGGGATCCACCGGCACCTGAACCGGAGGAGCAAGAAGAACGAAAACCATCTGCCACCCAGCAGAAGAAGAACACCAAACTGTCCAGCAAAACTACTGCTAAGCTGTCTACTAGTGCTAAAAGGTAAAGGGAACGCTCTGTACAACAATCTGTAGGACTTTTTACGTGGTGTTTTGTGACGCGGCACTTCTCAAGGTGAAGGGGTTCTTGTAAAGCTGTGCGGGAAAGAGCAAAGTACCGACTTCTTGTAGTACAGGAGCCTGCCAGGTGATATCTTCATTAATCCAAATCTTACTGGGGTAGTAAAATTACATGGACTTGTCATACGTCTTTGGAGGAGTTGTTTGAGAACTTGGTAACTTACAGGCTGGCTGGGGGGGCACCTAAGTATGTCTTGTACTGGCAAAAATGTGGGAGAGAGCATCAGCTTCGGCTATCTTTTTTGGAGTTAGGTTTCCATGCCTGATTGGTGTTGGGTGGATTTCTCCTGGTGTATTTTATTATGGTCTGTAGACTGATGTCAAACAATGCTCTTTAATTAAAGAAGTCACAAAAGCCCAGTGGCTCCTGTGGGCTGCGTGACTGGCTTTTCATGTCAGTCCACAGGAGAGCCTTCTACGCCTTGAAGTTTGTTCTGCAGTTCTTTCAGGATAAACTTTGGCAAGTTTTCTCCCTTAGGATCTGTACCTTCAGACTATGGCGTTCTACAGGTAGCCTCTACCTTTAAATATCAAAATATTCAGAAACCTTGTTTAAATATATCTGTTGCATTTTTATTTGCGTATAAGGTCACTGGCAGTCCAGCTCTCAAGACGCACACTGATAATTTTCTGTAAGTAAGTTCAGCCATGTGAAATAGGCAAACTTTAAATCCCTTGATTCCAGTGCTCTTTGGAGATGAAAGATAACTTTGCAGTCCTTTCTCTGGAGTTGCTTTCCTTTACAAACGTCCACAAATATTCGATAGCAAGAAAAGCTGTAGAGTGGCCATGGTAGCTTTAAGTTTTGCTTATTTCATGTGAAGACTGTGGTTCAAACTTTTAGAAACACTTTAGTAATTATTTATTGGACTAAAATTCAGTAAATAGTTTTTTAATGTGTTAAAATTGCTGCAGAGTATGGCTGGGTGGCTTTGATGACTTTTGAGATTGTTAAAGAAACCCTTTGAAATAGGACTGGCTAAAGAAAGAGCTGCTATGTAGGCTTTGTAATTTGTTAGTACTTACCTTTTTTGAAAGGCATGAGATGCAGGATTTCCAGACTGAGTTTTTCCCTCTTGCCTTTTTTTCACCGAATTGTTGCAAGTCTAATTCTGTACATCTCAAATAGTTTGGTAGTCTGACTGAATTTACTGGTAGTAGGGCAAGGGTGCGCAAAGCAGTTACGTTAGCTTGTATTTTAACACTTGCTATTCACACAGAATTTGTGGTCTTGCTCATATAGCTCCTTTGCTGAAGAGAAGTCTTATCTGATTTGTTAAGAGGAATTTACCATGTGTCTTTTGAAATTGCACCTCTTATATACCTGAATAAACTGTCAAATTGACAAAAAGTTTTCCATATTCCTCTTCTGGATTAACAGCTTGGGAGTGGTTTTAATAAAGTAAAGCTAAGCACAGATTATGTCAAGTTATTATTTCACTTTTAATCATGTAAATACAGCTACTGTATAAGGTTGGGGGACGAAAGGCAGCAGAAGGTGTGGCGAGCAGCAAAGTTGATCCAGAGGAGATGACTCCAGTAACAGAGACAGCTGGCAGATCTGGAAATCCCCTGTTTTAAACACACTGCAGAGTAGTAGGTAAAATAGTGTGCAAAGTGTGTGCCTGGTGGCAGCGCGGTTCACGTCCTGAGCCCCAGTCACAGGTCTGTAGCGCTGGCTTAAAGTCATTGTCAAATCTGCCTGTGCAGTTTCCCCCCTCGCCTCATTTGCATATTAGCTTGAAAAGAAAATCTCCCTGGCAAAAAGTCCTCGGATGAGGAAAAGAGTTACTTTTCTGGATACTTGTGGGAGATTCCTACCCAGCTCAGTTGGAAGCGTTCTGTTTACACGCAGCGTGGAGCAGGAAAAAAGCTGCAAAGTTTCTCAGCTGTGGGATTTGGGTTATGCCTCTGAGAACAAAGAGGAAGCAGCCATGTTAGCATTACTGAAGGCAAAGCCAATCTTGCATTTAACTGCATGGTGGTAGAGGGCAGTGTAATTCCCTGATTTATTCTATAGACTATCTCAACTGCTTTGTGTCTGTTCTCATTTCACCAACAGAATCCAGAAGGAGCTAGCTGAAATAACCCTTGATCCTCCTCCTAACTGCAGGTATGTAACAGCTTCTTAAATTGTGGACGGTGGTAGGAGATTAATGTGCTCAGGCTAACAAATGGGAAACTTAGTGTTCACGGCCAGTGGCTGTTAGACAAAAAATTGTGTGCAGCAGATGGAACAAGCATAGGGAACCTTTGATACTGAAGTTTGCTATTTTGTTTGCGTGTTGGAGGTGTAATGGTTAGTGATTGATGTACACAGTAAAGTGTATTCACTTTGGTTTTTGTAGCTTGTCACTGCCTTTGTGAAACATTAATTTATATGAACTTCAGAATACCCTGAAGCTTCAACTTAATGCCTGCATGTAGTTTGAACTGGCTTTTTGAGTGCCAGGTTTATAGAGTTATCACTTCGTTCTGAAGTAAGGGTAAAGAACCATATGTGATTTTTATACACTTAAGTGTGTTGCTTAGCAGTTAGATAAAGCATTGCCTTTAAATTTACATGTCTTTTGGTCAAAAGGGTAGTCTCTTAATAGAGACTATTTTTAAGGAAGTTCTCAACTTGGGAGATGTTTCTGTTAGGTTTTAGGAAATGAAATTGTAAGCTTGGAAGATTGAGTGATTGAGTGCTAGATAAAGTGTCAGTAACCAGAGCTCGTGATCTATAGGAAAGTTAAATGGTGGCATAGCTAGCTAATTTCTTTAAATCTTTTGCATGTTTTACTGTTGTTTAAAGGATGCATAAAAGTTCTCATTAGCTGTGAGCATCCGGTGTTCAGATTTGCAGTAAAGCTGTTTTCATTTGATGCATCTTGGTAAGATTTCTGACTGCAAGGTATCTTGAGATTAATAGCTCCTGTGTAACAGCAAGCCTTGCACATGTGTGAAAAATGCTGGAAGTGCTTTCTGATTTTATGTCGGAGTAATTTGGCTTTCCGAATAGTTGGAAAAGTTT